GTATAATTTGTCTGGGAAAATCTGTTAAGAAGGTGTTAACATCTTTTAATGCTGAAATCAGAGGTGGCACATGAGGGGACTGCAGTTACCGAGCTCAGTGGTGCGCTTTGGCTATTGTTAAGACCCCTTAAAATAGTTGCCAAAGGTTTAACTTGTGTAGGAAGGTAGACTTTTTTTTTTTTAATGTGGTGTATAGGAAAAAGAAAACTGACCCCTGCATTCACGATGAAAAGTCAAACTGTAAATGTAAACTAAATTTAGGACAATTATTCTTTTGTGCAATAGGTAATCAGAAAAAATAGAAATTGCAATAATTGCTGCACTGTTCTGAATGTAATGGTTAAATTTAAAAAGATGCTAGACATTTAGTAATGTCTTTTACAGTTATGTTTGTGAGAGGGGCAGCAGCCTGCATACAAAACAACTTAATTTTTGCTGAGATTGGGAGGAAACCTTTTCTTTCATGGTTGACAGTGCAAATGTGCAGAAGCAGGGATGCCTCACTCGATGCATTAGCTGTGGCATTGCTAAAGGGAGGGAAATAAAAGATGTTCCACCCAGTGTTTTGCAGGCACAGAATTCCAAGCCAGAAAGATGGGATGTAGCAATCAGGTGATGTTCAGAATGAGAAGGGATGCAGTCTGGTGGGTCTTTGTTTCTATGGTTACATTTTGAATGGCTGTAACTAGGTCAGATTGGAAGGTGCGAATGAAAACAAAGAAATTTGGAATTGGTAATGAGAGTGCAGAGAGAAGACTGTTGCTACTAGGGAAAGCAAGAAGGGAGCTGAGCATTTGAATGTACATCTTAATGTATATGTATGCAAGTCCCACGCAGATGGATCTATTTTAGCATCATTCACTCTTCTATCATAATTCGGTGGCCTGTTGTATGAAGAATCATCCGCAGAGCACCAAGCAGGCGTATTCTGTGATATACCTGCGGCGACATCTTTCCTCCCTCCGGCTGCATATCCAGGCAGCGGCAGCCAAACAGAGCTGTAGGAACAGAAGGG